CTTCAACTTTGCTAACAAACTATTCTGAACCAGACTTGTTGATTGGAACTTGGATTTCTGATGAAAAGGCAAAACTTTTTTTTAAAAAAGGAGGAATACTTTATTTATTAAAATTCAGTGATTACGAAGATTATAGTCTACCCTAATTATAACACCCCATTTGGGAGCCAGCCAAATTGCACAGTATAACAAGAAAGCATTATGAATCACCCCATTTTTCCTCATTTACGCCTTTCCCTGTCCCCCTTATGTCCTAGGGCAACAGAATTTAACCCAAATCAGGAGCAGCTGAACTTTTGAAGTTTTGAGTTCAATTCTCAGTCTAAGAGAATCTGTAACACGGTTGATAATACAGAACTGAAGCAAGTTTTAACAATAGCTTAAACAAAAACCAAATGATAACTAAAATACTGTACATAGCCACTAAGCTAAGTATTTTATTAGTGACTGGAAGTCTAAACCCGTCATTAGAACAAAACCTAGTTTGTTTTTAAAAATTATTAAAAAATATTAAAACGCAGGGCCACAGTGGCCCTAAAACTAAATTTTTGTATTGAAAACAAAAGTGATTTGTGTATTGAAAATCAAAACATCAGGCAAATATTTTCTAAAACACATTTAAAATATTTAATACAAGTATGATTTATAAATGCAAAGCTTTTATTGGAGAATCAAAGGGTTGAAGATAGTTAAAAGTATCTCAGGTATCACTTAATATTTCGCTAAATTATTTATTTTTTTCTAGCAGTTTTCATATTGAGCTTCGCCACTAGATGTAGTCACTACTTGACTGGATGTGAATAAAGACAATGACATAAGATTTTGCTTGTTGATCCTTGGTCATTTAATTGTTTGTCTAATCATTGGTAAAATCAATATTGCTTTCTATGCTATGATCATTATATAGTCACCCCCATCATTACAGACTTTGGGTTAGTATTGGTTCACTTGTAGCACGGGTGTACTGTGGAAGCGTGCTACAGCTAGCTTCAGCTGAACAGCCTTCTGCAAACCAGCCAGATTCCTGCGGTAAATAATGGCCACTTTCCAAGTCGTTGTTAATGTCAATCCCTGCTTGTTGTACGTGTGCATGCAATGCGCAGGAAGCTTCGCTGATGTCACTATGCTCTGAATGCAACATGAGATTAACAGCAATCTAAAGATGGTAATTTCTTTGTGTTTAATTCAGTGGGGGGAGAGGGGTTTGTGTTTATAGACCCAGAAAACCATGGTATAGCAAGCTTGCACTGTATAACAACTTATACAAATAATTAATTTTAGGCCCTTTGTAGCTCAATGATATTCATAAAACACGAGCAAACTGTCCAAGAAAAGAAATTAAATCTAAACTAAGTTCAGAGCTGACCTGGAAATAGAAATTGATTACCTTTGGCATCAATAAAAACTTCATTGTGGCCAGGCTTAAATTGCCCTTCACAATCTTGAACCTGTATCTTGCTGCCTTTTCATATCTGAAAGCATTATTCTGGGTTTACCCTCCTCAATCCTATTAAGCAATTTATACACCATTGAACAGTTCCCCTCCAGGAAAGCACTGTTGTTTCTGAAAGCTCATCAGGAATTCTGCTATCCTCAGCATTGCCTTTAGACAAGCCATTTATTTTTCAACAAGCAGAACTGTACAAAATAGTCCAGGTGCAGCCCCACCAGAGCAGTGTACATGACCTCTGTGGATCTGAAATTAACTGATTTAGCAATGTAGCCCACATATTATTTGCTTGTTTAATGCTGCCTCACATTGTTGAGATATGGTGAGTACTGGGTCAAATAACACCCTTCAGTCTCTTTCAGCTTGGCAAGTTTTATCATGTCTACAGAGTGCACATGTCTCCTGTTTTTACTTCATATTTGCAGCACTCTATAGTGTTTTTCAGTATTGAACTTCATTTGCCAGAAAGGCATGTGTAATGTAACTGTGTAAAAAGAAACAAAATGTGGTGATCATTATAAAACAACAGCACATATAAACAGAGAAGCTGATGATTAAACTAGAAAGTGTATATATTCTGAAATGCTACAATACTCAACTTTTGATGTCTAAATAAAACACTTGATCATTGTTTCGGATGAAACGTTAAACACGTTAAACCAAGGTCCCGTCTACCTGTTCAGGTGGATGTAAAAGATCCCTTGGTACTATTTCAAAAGAAAAAGGAGTTCTCCCAGTGTGCTGGCCATCAAATTGGTCATTTATTTCATGGCTGTTTGTGGGATATTGCTGTGTGCAACTGTACTACTGCATTTGCAAACAAATACAGTCACTCCATCTCATAGTAATTGCTATAAAGTGCTTTGAGGCATCCTTCTAACATGACAAGGCACTATACCAAATGCAAGGGTTATTATTATTTAACCCCTCAAGTGCATTATAGTGTTCTAAACAATTTATTCTTACAGATGAACAATCTCACTCAATGATGTGTGTATTTTCAACTCATCCACATATCGAAGTTCAAAATTACATTTGAAGTCTAATGTTGAACTTGGATCCTCAGAGTCCAACAGTGTATCACTAGAACTAACAAACTACCCACGTATCTCATTTTATTTCTACCTAGTGCAGTTGAGGTGAGATTCCTATGAGATTGCACCTCATTCTACTTAGCAAAACATCTGTCCATCAGTTAGTAATTTTGCATAAACAATTTATGTCCTAAGATTCCATGTACAGCTCTCTGGAGCCTAAAATGCTGTACTATTAATCAAGCGCTCTGGGATGCTGCCCACTGTGAAGGGCGCGACATAAATGCAAATTATTGTTGTCATTATTGAATAACATTCAAAGCTTAAAAGAGCATAATAGTAAGGAAAACAAAATTGCAAGACTGCTTACAAGGTACAGTATTGTTTTGCAGCCCATGAAGTGGAATATCCGAGTTGCCTCGATTAGCAGAGATTCAGAAGCAACATGGTCATACGGAGCTGAAATTCCTCCTATTCAAATAGCTTTGTGTATTTCAATATATATTTACTATTTATTTAATAATAAAAAATAATCCTCGCATTTGATATAGTGCCTTACCAAGTTGTTGAGACTCTCAAAGTGCTTCACTGGATTTTACTGTGAAGTGTAGTGACTGTGTATTTGCAGGCAAATGCAACAGGAAAATTGCATACAGCAATGAAGTGAATGGCTAATTCTATCTGGGGGTTTGTTGACCAGGACATCTCTTTTCAAGTAGTGCCATGGGATCTTTAACATCACCTGAACAGGCAGATGAGATCTCAGTTTAATATCTAATTTGAAGGACAGCGTGTCCAACAGTGCAGCACACCCCTACACTGGTCTGGAGCGGCAGCCTAGATCACTAAATTCTGAAAGGAGGCGATTAGAAACATCAATGAAACCTCTGCAAACCTGCACTGTTCCAGTTGAATCTTAACCATTTGATACGTGTAATTGTGTAAAAGGAAAAAAAAAGGAGGGGGAGGGAATGGGGTGGTCATAATAAAACAACAGCAAATACAGTATAAATGGTGAAGCTGATGATTAAATTAGACAGTGTACATATTCTGACGTACAACAATACTGTACACAATTGTGGGTGTCTAAACAAAACTCTTGATTCTTGTCTTGTATGAGACGTTCAACAGATGTTCTGGTGTGTGGCTGTGGTGTGTGTGGGTCTGGTATGTGTGTGGGTGGGGTGCTGGTCTGGTGTGTGTATGTGTGTGTATCTGGTGTGTGTGGGGGGGGGGGGGGGAGTGTGGTGTGTGTGCTTGTGTAATCTTCTATGACATGGAACCAAAACCCTTGCTTTGGGAGCTCAACACTGCTTTCCGCCTGAACGCACACACACCACAGCCACACAACACACCCACCACAGCCACACACACACCACAGCCACACATACAAAACACACACCACAGCCACAACACACACCACAGCACAGCCACACACCAGACACACACGCACCACAGCCACACACACCATACACACGCACCACAGCCACACACACCATACACACGCACCACAGCCACACACACCATACACACGCACCACAGCCACACACACCATACATACACACCACAGCCACACACACTATACACACGCACCACAGCCACACACACCATACACACGCACCACAGCCACACACACCATACATACACACCACAGCCACACACAACACAAGCACCACAGCCACACACACAACACACCACACCACAGCCACACACCAGCCACACACACACAACACACACGCACCACAGCCACACAACACACACCCACCACAGCCACACACACCACAGCCACACAACACACACCATACACTCACCACACCACAGCAACACACAACACACAGTCACACACACACCACAGCCACACACAACACACACCATACACTCACCGCACCACAGCCACACACAACACACACACCAGTCACACACACACCACAGAGCCACACGCCGCACACACACCACAACCACACACGCACCACAGCCACACACACACACACACACACCACACGTCGTGACTCCACACTGGTGAACTGGTGCAAACGTTAAAGAAAACGCCACAAAATCCGAGGCGCTCCGGCAGCCCCACCGCCCACCGGCGAGAAGGAAACAAGTTTTGAAACATCTTTCTTTGTTGATGGGGAGGAGTGTGTGTGTGGGGGGGGAGGGGGTGTGGGGGGGGGGGGGGAGGGAGAGGGGGTGGGGGGGGGGAGGGGGGGGGGGGGGGGGGGGGGGGGGGGGGGGGGGGGGAGGGGGTGGGGGGGGGAGGGAGAGGGGGTGGGGGGGGGGTCTGTCCGCCTATCGGGTTAGTTACACTTACGCACAAACTTTGAACCCCGTCATCACAGGAAGGTTTGCGAAAGGCCGTGGGTTCCAAACTACACACACACACACACACACGAGATACACACATATATATATATATATATGTATAACTAAAATATTATAAAATTCACACCCAAACCCCTCCACTCCCTCCTCGGCAATAACAAACTCCTGACACCGGGCGGGACCTGTTGACTCACCAGCGGACCCCCCGGCGACGATCTGATGCGACGCTTCCTTCAACAAACTCTGTTTGCCCACCGGCATTTTCCACTTGAGAGAGAGAGAGAGAGAGAGAGAAAATACAACGAGAGAGTGACCGACAGCCGTTTCGTGGGGCTTTTTTTTTTGGGTGGTGGTGGTGGTTGTTGTTGTTGTTGACCCGAGGGATGGAGCCTCCTGACTGCCCGACTGCCTGCGGGGGTTCGTGTACCTCACATAAAGTCGGGAGTCTCCTGCGATGCGCGAGCAGTTGGGGATCAGCGACCGACCTGCGCTCAACTTGACTGACAGCTGTTGGCTGTTCACGGCGAAGGGCGACGTGGGGTGGGGTGGGTCACTGAGGGCAGCCCGAGATGGCAGTGGCAGAGGGAAAGGGGGCAGAGGCTCATGATAATGCTGATGAACAACCCTTGCGTTCGTTCGCCGGAGCGCCTGACCGCGTCTTCGGGACGTCTCGAAAGCGCTTCACCGTCGACGCTGCAAAGCGAATGGGCCGCGTTTTGCGGGCGAATATCTGGTTGCGGGATACGAGCGTAAGCGTGGCGGTAAAGCCAGACACAATAATGATCCTTGCATTTGAAATTATTCGTCAAACGCGTGCAAGTTCGTTGATCGTGGACCCCCCCCCATCACTGGCCTCTGCATCGTGATGGGATTTTCATCACAAAATCCATAACAGGGGAAATTGTTCACGCTCTGGAGGATTGCGACTGATGGGCCCAATGTCCTTTTATTCTCATATTTCTTCCATCAATGGCTAAATTACACTTGTGCCATGTTTATTTTGATCAGAAAACCATAATAAAATGTAGGCTTTCCACACCGTCACACGTTTCTGATATAACCGCTATTTACATTTTACATTGTTACAATGCTTTTGGTAATTATTGTTGCAAAATTGATTTGGTTTATCTGTTTTGTTTCCTTGATAATTTTTTGTTTTCTTGCTTGTGTTTGCTTCACAGTGCTTTATGTTTTGCTGTAACCTATTATTTTAAAAGTTGTATCCGTGTTTTCCAGGTTAAACCTTGATAGGAATTTGGGGTTGAAAAGTGCTCTGCGATTAGTGAATGCATTAGACAAGAGTTCTCACACCCATTAGGTGTCCAGTGACCTCTGCTTCAATGGGCATATAGTCATCTCATTTGGACAAGATTAAACTCAAGTGATAACCTGACATTTCAAGAGCACATTGACGCTTTCTACTCAGTGTCACAGATGTAACATGGTTATTTTGGAATAAGACATCAACTAGTCTTTATTGCCTGTGTAATACAAAAGAACAGAGGGGGGGGAAGGAAAACTGGAAGGCTAAAATGGCTAATCATACCACTTACAATCACATCATAGCAACATGAGCTGAGTGTAGGAGTAATTTAGTATAAAAATTTATTGTTCCTGGGACGATAAATAATATCGTCACTTGACCTTGGGTCTTCCTGGCTGCAGTCCAAACTGTTTCCGGGCAAAGATACAGTTTTGTCATTGTTCTTTGTCTCACCAAGTTTTTATGGTACTTTTTGAGTATAAATCAATGATAGGCCAACGGTAGGGGTCACAACATGTTTGATTAATTTATTTTTGCAAGTAGTTACTGAAATAGTAATTCATATCCTGAAACTCAATTTATATTTTGAAACCCAAGCGGTAATTGATCATCATGGAACAATTCTGTTTTTTGGTGCTGGTACCCTGAGAATTATGGCCAAACACAAAAATCTGTTTATTTTACTTTTTCGTTTGATTTTAAGAAATCAGCAGTACAAACAGTTCCCTGTATGTAACTGAATTCAGCACTTTGTAACTGAATTTTGTTTTGTTTCAATTCTCAATATCTTAACTCCATACACTGCATCAGTTGTACAGTTTTGTATCTGGTATGATATATAATTATTGTATTTAATTTCACACCTATAATGTTGAAACAACTGATTAATATCCATTAATTTGTGCGCAAAACATTGAATTATCTCAGTCTGCTCTCGTCCGATTGACAACATTTCATGCAAAACAGCAGAGAAAAGTAAATGAAAAAAACAGTATCTGCCAGATGAAAAGTTACAAAGTGGATTTATTCACAACACAGATATACATCACTCAGGACAGTATTTTTAAGTAAACTTATTTTTTTTTAAAAGAGGCACTGCTATGATGTATCTGCCAATCATCTTTTACTTGTGTACATTAATATACAGGTGTAAATCACATCCATAGATCTCATCCCTCTGTTTACATAGCAGTAAGTAGGAACCCAGTTGTCAGTCAACTGGCGGATCGCTTTTCCAGGGATAATAATCCCTCAAAAAAAATAATAATTTGGTCACTCAATCCAAGGCTGTTTGTGGGACACTGCTGTGTGCAATTAGCTGCCTCAATTCACCAACAAATATACAGTCAATTCACTTTACAGTATAATCTGTGAAGCGCTTTGAAACGTCTAGAGGACGTGAAGAGCGCTATATCAAATGCAAGGATTATTATTATCTAGAAGATGTGAAAAGCACAATATCAAATGCAAGGAATATTATTATTAATATCAATTCACTTATATGTGAATGGGGTATGGATAGGAATTTGAAGTATGTGCATACAACAGATGATCTATAGTTACCCAAACCTGCTACTATTAAGATACAGTCATGATTACTGCTGTATGTGAATGCATACAGTTTCTTTCTATCCTCATGTCAGAATTGCTTGATAGGAAAGCAATGCAATATGGGTGCAGGTTTACACTGGAAAATTAGGTGCAGGTTTACACTGGAAAATTATTTTAAAAGTTGTAATTGTAACTAACATGGAAAATATACTGCCACTTCATAGAATTTCAGGTTCAAGTATTTTTTAGTGATCTTTTGAACATTTTTGCTTAAACTGAGGACTTCATCCATGAACACAAAATTGCACATCAAAGAAAAATGAATATGATCCATTGACCAATATACCATTGAACTTGATAAGAGTAACAGAAAATTAGATAAATTAAGAAATGATGATGCAATGTCACCCGTGGAGTTTAAAAACCTGTATATTGCATAAAATTAAGACGGGGAAATAAGAAATTTCACAATCTTGAGCTGTAGAGAGAAGGTGGCAAGAGTAAAAGAGGGTTTGAAAGATTTTGATTTCAAAATTGAAAATAAAAAAACAGCATGTAGGGTTGCAGATGATTTATGTAGCGGAGGATGAGGAAGAGGAATAAGGTGAGAGACCCCAGGAGAAATCTCAAATGGCTAGAAAAAAAGGGAATGATCAACTTACACAACAGATACAATGGATTCAAAAGAGGATCATAATTTTGGTGGAAAAACAGAATTTCAGAGCTGAGTAATATCACCAGTGGACACCTATACTGAAAAACACAAAGCAGATAATATGGTTAGAAAAACAAAGGTAATGAATGTATCTGACTAACATAATTTTGCCCTTATGTTTTGAGATCTGTAACTCCTTCAAGTAGTTTCTCCACTCATTATATAAATATTTTCTAAAAGGCAAAAACATGCAAAACAAATTTGTGAATGAAACAATCATTTGTAAACATTTTACAAGAGATACAAAGGGTGAAACAATCATTCAAATTCAACCAATCTCTAAAAGAGGGAACGGTGGGCAACAAATTATGTAACAATTGTTTGTAAACATTTTACTTAAACAAGAGATGCGAAGGATAAAACGCAAATTCAACAAATCTCTTGAGGGAAAGTTTTGTAAAACTAGTGACCTACTCATACTTGAGTCAATCACTGCTCTTGACAGAAAAATCACGCAAGTGGCCATTTGTCAGATGATAAAACCAACAAACAGGCCCATGGTATCTAGGAATATATCCAGATGTGAAATTAATGTTCTCTACATAAATTCATTTTCAGAACATAACCATATATCACAATGCATCTTTTTTTTTAAAAAGTACCTATCTTTCAGTTACTGACACGCGAGCAGACATTTATCTATTTAAGAAGTACTTTATTCATTTCTGAGATTATAACACCTTTAGATTAATGTTTACTGTATACAACGGAATCCAGTTTACAATCCAGTTCTGCTGTGTAATTATAATTCTGAAGCTTTAGTGGAAGAAATATCACAAGTTACTCTACCTGAACTTAAGGCGACATAAACATTTAACGCAGTTTTGCAATGCAACAGCTGTTTTCTCGTAATGCACTCTCGTGTTCAGTACAAAAAAAAAGCATTCCGCTCCAGGGATCCCGGTCTCAACATAAATCTCAGAACACTGCAGGGAAACGGCATCGCTAAGAGAGCAACAACAAAAAAAAAGCGTTTACGTCTAGGCCGGTACCATGCAGCTTCAAGCTTGGTTTTTCCTTCAGCTGTGTGCCCGATTGCTACGATGCTAAATATGTTTCTCTCTAAGTATGAACCCTTTGCAGTTGCATCCTGCACTGTGGCGAGGTACCAACTTGACGCAAACTCTCTTTCCAGGTGACTTCACTCAGCCCCGCGATGGAGGAGGCGGCGGCGGCGGCCATCTTGGCAATTGCAGTTTCCAGCGAGAAGCCGAGTCACCATGAAGGTGAGACGCGAGGAAAACTCCCATCTACGACCCCCCCCCCACTCCCACCAAGTTCTTCGCTTCTCCGTTCAAAATCCAGCTCCGGAGTCTCTCGGCCGCTCCGAAAAAAAGTTCACCCCTTTACTTTGCGGTAGCAAATGGCCGAGAGGGGGTGCGGGGGGGGTGCGGGTGTCACCGGCGGCCGCTCTGTGACCCGGATGCGGCGCGCGGGTGCCGAGGCTACTCGGCTCGAGCGGCTTTGGAACGGGCGTCGGTTGGTCACGGCTCGTGCTCCCCGCGGGGCTTCAAGGGGTTCAGGCCACCAGAAGCCGCCGCCGCCATCAGCCGCCATCAGCCGCAAGGGAACTAACTGTCTGCCCAAAGTAAGGAAGTTTCTCGCCAACCCTGAGCCTCCAGCTCATCTCTGAAACTTGCCTGTGTTTTTTGTGGTGGGGGAGAGGGGGTAAACGGGGGTACCCGACTGTGACCGTCGGGTTGCGGGAACTCGCAACTGTACTGTACTGCGCTGCGCCGCCATTCATGAAGCTCTCACAGCAATAACTGACTGAAGTGAGCTGCGCCCGTTCCTTACCGCGCAGTACGCGATTTATTGCAGTTCTATCAGCAACGTTATCGTTGCTCCAAAATGTGAAGATGTTGCCCATTGCAGTTTTACTTGATGAGCGCAGTATCGTTTGCGGTTAAAGTACAGCAACTTTGTCCCAACTAAACTCTTTTGGAAACGATGGAACTAAGGGTTCGCTGACTGTAGTTCTATCCATTGAAGTACCAGACTTGGAGAAAGCATTGATTTTGCTATATCCAATACTTGTGCGACTTTCTGTTGCGATTGGAGACGGCAATGGATTGCTTCAAAGGGGGGGGGGAGCAATTTTTCTGAAAGTATTACATTATGCATCTGTCGAAAAGTACTTTAAAGTGCTGTATCTTGTACCATTGTGGTTTCAATAGCTGTTTACTGTTATTAATTGGCTGTTTGGTTGGTTTAAATAGATTTGAATTGGATACCAATTTAAATTGGGACCCTTCAACTAGTGTAGACATAGTTCAACACAGTAATATACAGTATATATTATGGAAAAGGTTTGCTGGATCTTCAGAACCTGTTGGGTCAAGACAAAAATACAACAATAATAATAATCCTTGCATTTGATATAGCACCTTATCACATCGTCAAGACAGCTCAAAGCGCTTCACATAATATACTGTAAGTGTTCTGTAACAGTGTTTGGTAAATGAATGGGGGTTACTCTATGTGGCTGCTTTGCAAATGCTCCATACAAAAGCATTTCAAACATTTCCTTCCTTCATTTACTTTGGTCAGCTGGGTGTTTGACACATGCAAAAACCCATCACCGTACATAAGGAAATTAATAGTAATAATAATAATCCTTGCATTTAATATAGCGCTTTTCACATCTTCTAGACGTCTCAATTGAGTGTTCCTTTCTTTGGAATACCCAAAACATCCCTATCAACCTGTCTTCTTACTCTTTTGATGTATATATGCATTTCTAATTTTGGGCAACCAGGTTGTTGGTTAGTTCTCTGTTGCCCCCTGCTAGAGTGTCATCCCTTCATCATCAGGGTTTTTATAATTAATTACAGAACAGACAGACTTTGTGTTGCATTTAATGATTGTCTTTCAAGCAAATATAAATTTTTAGGGAACCTGATACTTTGAACTAACCATTCTCTGTTCTCAACGGGATACATTCAGCCACCTATATCAAATGCAAGGATTATTATTATTATTATTAAGGTCCTGGAACGAGTCCGTCGCGTTCCAGCTCCACTGCTTTCTCTCTAGCCATTCCCTCTTTGAACCCCACCAATCTGGCTTCCGTGCTGTCCACAGCAAGGAAACAGCCTTGGTCAAAGTCACTCATGATATTCTGAACATCTGTGATCAGGGCTCTTTCTGCTTCCTTGTCCTCCTTGACCTCTTTGCCGCCTTCGACACTGTCGACCAATCATACACCGTCTCTCCGCTTTTCTCAATCTTCGCGGGTCTGCCCTTGTCTGGTTCAATTCCTATCACTCTGCCTCAACTCCAGGACCACTGCTGCCCTGACAGACTGCCTGTCGGACATCAAGTCCTGGATGAGGGCAAATTTCCAACAGTTGAATGTGAACAAGACTGAGGCCCTCCTGATTGGCTCGCGCCAGCGCCTCAACACCTCAGGCTCTGGCAACATCAACCTCTATGATTGCACACTACAACTCACCAAGCCAGTCAGGAACCTAGGTGTCTTGTTCGACCCTCAACTGTCTTTCTCCCCCACTCATTCAAGCCATGACCTGCTCTGCCTTCCCTCACCTCCGTAACATCACCCGTCTCTGCCACTACCTCACCCCTCAGGCCGCTGAAACTCTTGTTCATGCCTTCATCACCTCCAGGCTCGGCTATGCAAACTCCCTGCTTTTCGGCCTTCCTAACTCCTCCCTCCACAGGCTGCAGATAATCCAGACCTCTGCAGCCCGTGTCTTCTCCCGCACCAAACTCCGTGACCCCATCTCCCCCACTCTCGCCCGACTCCATTGGCTCCTTATCCTTCAGAGGATCCAGTTCAAGATCCTGGTCCTCACCTACAAAGCCCTCCATGGCCTTGCCCCACCCTACCTCTGTGACCTCCTAACCCCCTACCAACCCGCCCATTCCCTCCGCTCAGCCAGCTCTGGCCTGCTCCACGTGTCCGACCATTGGCGGGAGAGCCTTCAGCCACTCTGCCCCCAACCTCTGGAATTCCATCCCCCAGTCACTCCGCCTCGCCCCCCTCTTAGCCTCCTTCAAGTCCTGCCTTAAGACCCTCCTCTTAGACAATGTCATTGGCCAGCCCGCTTCCCCTCCCCTCCCTTCCCCGACCCTAGCTCAGGTCTGAAATGCTGTACTCTGTCCAGGGCCTTGGGACGTGCTCCTGACGTGAAAGGCACTATACAAATGTAATCTTGTTGTTGTTTTGTGTTTCCCTCCTCTCAGGGATGCTGCTTTGGAATATGAACTGGAAATGGTATTGCTTTTTCAGAAAAGCACTGAGCAACTCCAAAACACATTAGTTGTTATTCCAAAGGTAAGCTTGTAATGTATCAATTAATCTAAAGATTATGTAATACATCAGTCCTTTTCAGAGCTTGCTTAATATGTATTGCACTGTATTGGTATCTTATTACTTGCCTCATAAAACTTTCATTTTTTCTTATAGCTGACCAAGAGCTTTATAACTGTCCACTGTTAATTTCTGTTCTTTTTTTGTTCAAATGTTTTTGTTTGTTTATTAATAAGATATGGAAGTAGATTTACTAACTGGTTATAGGAAAGGAAGCGAAGCTTGGTACTGAAACTCGTACCCATTCTGCTGCTAATGTACATAAATGACTTGATTTTGTAGACTTGGTGCACGGTAGTTATATTTGTAGATTTTACCAAGCCAGCACTTGAGGAATCCAAGCAGAAGTCAAGATCTCACAAAGAATCCTCCAGGCTGGTCACTCACATGAAGTTGTGGTTGTTGGCAGTGTGTTTAGTGTGTTTAGTGATCCAATGTTATTTGGAAATAGTGCATGCAACGGTTGTGGAAGTAGGTTTGACATAGGTTTACACTCACCAAATCCAGCAAGAGAACTAAAGCCATGATTTTCCTCCTGTTGTAGCTGCCATTATTCTTTTTGAGAAATGCCAACAGGAGGTTAGGAGACATAAAAAAAAAAATCAAATCCAAGATAAAACACTACTGGGGCAGAATATCATGCCTGGAATGTCTAGAAGTTGAAACTCTTGTAGAAAGCCATTATTGGAAGGTTGTGAAATAGGAGTAACAACAAATTATATTTCTATAGTGCCTTTCACGTCGGAAGGATGTCCCAAGGTGCTGGACAGTCAGGGATTTTGACCCGCGCTGAGGGTTGGGATCAGGAAGGGTGGAGGGCAGGCAGGGAAGAGGTAGTGAATGGTTTGTGACTTCAACTGCACTGTCGTGAATCAGCCCAAGACTTGTATCCATCCACATTAAAGAGTTGACCTATGCCCGGTTCCGGAGGGGTTTTTAGTTTATCAATGCAAAAAAGGGGTATCAAATTCTTTTGCATTCTTGGCCCAATCATCCTCAATTACTTCATCAATGATCTACCCACTCCACCAAAACAACCATCATGAGGCTACTGTGAATGTTTGTTGATGATTTCACAGTGTTCAACTTAATTTGCAACTCCATTGACAATTAAGTAATCCATACCTATTAGTGGCATCTTGTCATCATCTATTAGGGGCTAAAAAGTAACAAGTAATATTTATAAAACTAATAAATAATCCTTGCATTTGATATAGTGCTTCACGGGATTTACTGCAAAATGTAGGTGTATTTTGTACGCAAATACTAATGTCACACAAAACACTATGAAGTGAATGACTAATTTATCTGGAGGACTATTGTTTACAACAACAAGATTACATTTGTATAGTGCCTTTCATGTTGGGAGGACGTCCCAAGGCGCTGGACAGTGTACAGCATTTCTAGGACACCAAGAGAAAATCCCTTCTCTTGTGACACATAAATGCTAGACAACGACCTCCAACAAGAGAGAGCTCAGTCCTCCCTCTGACCTTCAGTGGCATAATCGTATAATATATATTTATATAATAATCCTTCCATTTGATATAGCGCTTTTTCACGTCTTCAAGACGTCTCAACGCGCTTCACAGATTATACCGTAAAGTGAATTGACTGCATATTTGTGAGCAAAATGCGGCAGTCAATTGCGCACAACAGTGTCCAACAAATAGTTGTGGATTGAGTGACCAAATTATTATTGTGCTTTTTTTTCTTGAGGTTTATTATCAGACATATGTACTGTTTCATGATTACATATTTTACTATTTAATACTCTGCATGTTTCTTTTCATAATATCGTTTCAAGTTTTTTTTTGTCTCCTATATATGAAACTTGTGCAACATGTGGCTTATTGATATCCCAATGCCTATATACATATATAAAAATAACTATTGGAAACTTCTCAAAAGCCATCAGTTAAAACAGCATATTTTACTATTCAAAGTAATAAATCTTTTAAATACCCAGATCACTAAATTTCACTGAGTCATTCAGAAAAGATAGAGATTCTGAAACATTTGTTCAATTTATAGATTTTATTTCAGTTTCTTACAAGTTCAAGTTTTACATTGATGAATGCATCAGATTATTTATGGGAATGTATATTTTATATGAGCACATCTCCTTTGTTATAGTAATTTAGCAGTAGATGGCAGTGTAATCAAAGTATTTAGTTCCACATTAGCTCACTATTAATGCATTTTGGAAAAATGGATGGTAATAAGAATGTTCTTGTTTATTTGCTTACAGTGTAAATTATTTTAATTGATTGGACTGTGAGGAGTTCCCTTTGATTATGAGATAAGTTTGATGGGATGTTGAGGTTTATGGGATTGGGAGGGAGGAGATGGTAATAATCATCAGTCCTTCATTTTTCTGTATTTGTTTTTGAAAACTCTGTTTACCACAGCTATCCAGCCGCTTGATAAGATTTTCTTTCCATTTTTTGTAATGAATGTATTGTTAGGAGAGTTTAATGTATTGTACAAAGTAGGGAAGATTGTTTAGCTTTGTGGAATGTAGTTCTCTAGAAAAACTTGTATTGTATTTCTGGAAGCAAAGGGGAAAGAGGTTTACATTAGTGTGGTTAAATCTTCATAATAGATGAATTGAATATGTATTTATTTGGTTGTTTTTTGTACCTTGTTAAATAAAACAAGGTTTAATAAACGGAGTGACTCTAGCCCAATTTGATAATCAAATACAAATGAGGGTCCTCTTTTACTTAATTCTTTTGTAAATACTGTTCTTCACTTAATGAAAGGTATTGAAAACCTGAAGCCCTTTCTCATGATAGTGCTTATTTTGTGTGGGGGTTTCTAATAGTTTATTTAGTAAACTAGATTTGAAGAAGTTTTCTTACTTGAGGGAATCATTTTTAACCTGCTATTGATGAATTGTACAGATTGTATAACATATAAACCCTTTTTGAGTTGTTAATGAAATGCCCGGTGAAGATGAGGTTGTAAAACATGTTCCCTAATCTGTACATTTATAAATGCATGGTTATTTACAAAGAATGTACAGCACTGAAACAGTTATTAATTAGTGTTTAGATCAATGGTATGACTTTAAATATCAATTTATACTTGGGTAAGTATTGCATTCTTGACAGCATTTAAAGTAACAATACAAAAACTCACTAGATATTTTCATCTTTCCTTCTTTGTATGATCTGGACTGATTGATTTTGATGATGAATTGAGTTTTTGTTATTGTTTGTTTTTGAAGTCACAATTTCATATTAACCTGAACAATAAGTTGGCTTTATTTGTGCTATTGTAATTTCTGAGATAGACAAAGCCCAATCCTTTTAAAATATATATTTTATTCAACTCAAACAGATGGGTGAAATATAAGAAGACTTGGTTATCTATTGAAGTACTGTAATTCAATCATGATTGACTTTAGTAATCCACAAGATGGGGCTGTTTGCCAGATTTACAGTGACCCACCATGACTAACTACATGGCTCTGGATGTGTTTCTGGGATTACATAAATTCCTAAAGGTTTCTTACATTTTTGGATGAATGTATATGGTGTACATTTTTGTCCCAATAATAATAATCCCTGCATTTGATATGTTTCACATCTCATTGAGATGTTTCAAAGTGTTCTCAGGATAAATTGTAAAGTGGTTTGACCTGTGTTTTGTGGCAAAATATGCCAGCCAGTTGCGCACAGCAATGGAGTGAGTGACCAACTATTTACTTAATGCTGCAAAACTATCCCAGACTATAGAAAATCTAGGACATAATCATAATTTGGGAGGGTGGGCACCTACCATCTCATTTCGGAGTTATAATCCAGTGCCCTATTACTTCTTTTAATGATAAGTTACATCTACTTTGTAAAGCCCTTATATAGACTTTGGCAGGAACTGTAGCAAAGAATTGTTCTGTGTGGTGGAGATGAGGTATTAGGGTAGGCAAGCTCAAATTAGTTAAGAGCTTTCCTCCCATGCTACCTCACCCCCACCAAGCGGAAGAATCTTGGCTTTACTCTGGGCCAATTTTGAATTTGCGTTACATTAACTGGCATCCAGAGTCACAGCTGAATTTTCCTTTTGATGTTGGATAAGCAGAAGATGCTGGGGTGGTGACCTGATGTCACCATATTGATGTCCTTGTTGTACTCTTACGTGTGTGGGCCAAGATCTTGTATTTAAGCCTTCCCGCTGTGTATATGTACCAGTTCTTAAATCTCAATTGAAGTAAAGTGGAATGATGAGACTGCCTCACATAAATGTACTATGAACAATGAACTATTCATCCTTTAGCAGTCTAGTCTCCCATAGTATTCCCATAGAGCCTTCCTATTAAAGCACTGCTTAGACCTATTTGTACTACACTGAAAAAGATTTGGGATTAAAGAGTAAGAAAAGTAGCATAATTGGTTTTCCAATTCTTGTAGTATTGCTGAGTACTAGCATGGGACTTTTTTAATTGAAAAACATACTGCAAGGAATGAGTCTTTTTTTACAATTTGGCAGATAAGATGCAAAATTAATCAAATTTAGTGTCAATAGCCTATTTGTATTATTAGCCATTCCTACATTATTCTTTCATGTGATAACCGAGTCTGTGCAAATAAAGTTAATCAACTTAATCAGTGGATATAATGTAAACTGTACTCAGTATACCAGAATAAGTTGTGACTAGTTTAGCTGCTACATTGAAATATTAAATATGAAGCACTGTAGCTGTTTCTGACCTGCTACATGATACTATTTTCTATCAGTATCTTTGAAGATTTAATGGATTTCCAGCTCACCTGGCTTTCAATTTATTGATTTGACAGAAACATTATTTTCTTATGTGTAGACCACGTTCCCCCCCCCCCCCCCCCCCCCCCCCCCCCATGTATCTTGTCAAAAATGGCAGATTAAATTCCCTGTCAAAATTACCTGCCATCTGGTATTGCTGGTTAGAATTCTTGCTCTTTTATCCATTTAGTTCTTCT